TTGCTCAAATGTCAAACAAACATAATCTCTCTCATTCTTTTCCAAGCTCCATTGTCTCTTATTGTAGTATTGTTTTGTATGAAGTTACACAATTATCACAAAGCTGAATATCTTAAAACCCTATTCTACAATTAAGGCCAAGATCTTTATTAATTGTACCTCTGCAACCTCACTGAATTCAACTACTGTGTACTACAAAGGTACTATAGAAGATAGAACTTGAATTTGGGTGTGTTTAATTTTATAAAATATATTTACACATTTTGGGGTATGTGTATATAAAATGCACAACAGCAGTATACATATTTATTATTTATATAAAAAATAAAGCCATCACTCAAACATATCTTAAAATATTTTGTTCAAACTTTACATGAAAATGAACCTCTTTGGGGAATTTGTTTAAGAAAATAATGAGCAACTGAAATACAGAATATATAATAGGAGTTATATTTCAGCCATAACCACATATATGTGTAGATCAGAGGTGTCAAACATATATGGCTTGTGGGCTGTATCTGGCCTATGAAACCATATGGTTCTGTGACTTATGGGCCAGATCAACCCCATGTACTGGCCTTGGCCCCCTGCACTGCATGCAGTATGTGGTCTAGACTTGGCACTGTGTGTCCTGCACACGGCACAGGGGATCAGTCTGGGGCACACAGTGCATGTTGCACCCTGCAGGACCAGCCCTGCATACTGGCTCTGACCTGGTGTAGATCAGGCTGTGTCACATGTAGCATGTGCCCTATACTGGACCTCCCTGCCATATGCACAGCAAGGCCTGGAACTGGTGTGTGCAGCATGCAGGCTGGACCTCATGCTGTATGTGCTGCACGCAGAGTTGGTCCCGATCTGCTCATAGACTGCCCCAGGGATCCTCATCTGACCCGTGGAGCTGGATGAGTTTGACAACCCTTGGTGTAGATGATTTCTTTGGTTCCACTGATACCAAGTGCCTCTCAAACTTTACATGTTGGTATAAAAATACATTTAAGGATCTATAAAATAACAGGTAACCATATGCTAATAAATCTACTTTGTTGGAAGAATCAGTCCCAACGCTGCAGGTACCAAAATGGCTATTTTGGAGATGCTAGTCACAGATCTGTCACTTAGGTTTTGTTCTTAAAGCGGACAAAGTATTTATTATGCATGCAAATGGCAGCAATTGCTCTTTGAGAATAGATGGAACATTCTGAGAATTTGGAAGTAAATCTGTTAAATGGTTTAGGCTTAATTTTAATTATTAGTTGCGTCCTATAAGAAATTTAACAGCAGGTGTTAGACCTTTTTTTAGTCTCAAATTATCTTAATAGCAGAATAACTCTGGCAGTTCAAACTTCCCATATAGTTTAAATTCACAGAAGTCTTTTGACTCGGCGACTGCTTCTGACTTTTCTTTCTTGAGGATGGATAGTAATACTTGCAAATTATTCTTCCAGCAGAAAGCTTCTCCTTTAGCCAGCGCTGAAGAGTAAGTTTCCCGTAACAAGTTCTTCAGAGAACTCCCCCCTCTAAATATGACAACTTGTTATTATTCTCAGTGATCCTGGAGCCACAGTTTGTACTCAGGTGGCCAGTATGAGAAGGCAGAGTAGACTGGCACCATTCCCGGTGGATCTCAGCCTTTTTAGACTCAAGGCACCCTTGGATAGACTTGAGGTACCCCTTTGATTTCTGTTCCACCCAAAGTTTAAAATCAACTGCCTGGCAGTGACAGCAGCATTTCTCAATAGGCAGCGCTGAGTGAGTCACTTGAATCAGGCAGGGGGTTGGGACTGGATGACCTCTGGAGATCCCTTCCAGGCCTACTTCTCTATGACTCTATGACTTCCTGGCTCATTATCATCTACCTGATCCCTCCTAAACTCTTCAATCCATATGTGTATGTGTATAGCATTCCTCCCTTCTTTTGAATAGGCTCGGTGTCCAACCAAGCAAAGGGGTTGTGCTATGCTATGCTGCTGCCTGTTCCCTGCTCCTGGTGAGGCAGCTCCTGTCTTACAGCCTTGTGAATTAGTTTTCAACTCATTCCAATGAAATTCTCTTTGTTTCTTCTTCACTCTAACACTAAATAATACAGCCCTGCCTGGGTCTCTAGCCTGTTAGGAAAAGTGTCTAATTTCTTTTTACCTGGAGAGAAACACCTGTAGTTTTAGATGCCACGATGCCCCTCACCAGGTATATCATCCTCCCCCCCATTTTTTAATGTCCTAGCTCTATGGCAAGGTTCATGCCATTAGCCTACAAGAGTGCTTTGTAAAATCTAGAGCTACTTGTGCTCCTACTTCAGATCAGAAGTGCAGCCATGAAAGATCCAAATGGCAGCAGTCCTAGCCCAAGCATCATCAGTGAAGATGTGATTATTATTAATGGTCACGCTCGACCTTTTTTTAGTCTCAAATTATCTTAATAGCAGAATAACTCTGGCAGTTCAAACTTCCCATATAGTTTAAATTCACAGAAGTCTTTTGACTCGGCGACTGCTTCTGACTTTTCTTTCTTGAGGATGGATAGTAATACTTGCAAATTATTCTTCCAGCAGAAAGCTTCTCCTTTAGCCAGCGCTGAAGAGTAAGTTTCCCGTAACAAGTTCTTCAGAGAACTCCCCCCTCTAAATATGACAACTTGTTATTATTCTCAGTGATCCTGGAGCCACAGTTTGTACTCAGGTGGCCAGTATGAGAAGGCAGAGTAGACTGGCACCATTCCCGGTGGATCTCAGCCTTTTTAGACTCAAGGCACCCTTGGATAGACTTGAGGTACCCCTTTGATTTCTGTTCCACCCAAAGTTTAAAATCAACTGCCTGGCAGTGACAGCAGCATTTCTCAATAGGCAGCGCTGAGTGAGTCACTTGAATCAGGCAGGGGGTTGGGACTGGATGACCTCTGGAGATCCCTTCCAGGCCTACTTCTCTATGACTCTATGACTTCCTGGCTCATTATCATCTACCTGATCCCTCCTAAACTCTTCAATCCATATGTGTATGTGTATAGCATTCCTCCCTTCTTTTGAATAGGCTCGGTGTCCAACCAAGCAAAGGGGTTGTGCTATGCTATGCTGCTGCCTGTTCCCTGCTCCTGGTGAGGCAGCTCCTGTCTTACAGCCTTGTGAATTAGTTTTCAACTCATTCCAATGAAATTCTCTTTGTTTCTTCTTCACTCTAACACTAAATAATACAGCCCTGCCTGGGTCTCTAGCCTGTTAGGAAAAGTGTCTAATTTCTTTTTACCTGGAGAGAAACACCTGTAGTTTTAGATGCCACGATGCCCCTCACCAGGTATATCATCCTCCCCCCCATTTTTTAATGTCCTAGCTCTATGGCAAGGTTCATGCCATTAGCCTACAAGAGTGCTTTGTAAAATCTAGAGCTACTTGTGCTCCTACTTCAGATCAGAAGTGCAGCCATGAAAGATCCAAATGGCAGCAGTCCTAGCCCAAGCATCATCAGTGAAGATGTGATTATTATTAATGGTCACGCTCATGAAGATAACAATGCATTCGCTGAATACATGCGGATGGAAAATGAAGGTGAGTTTAACAGGCAGACAAGAGTTATAGGAAGAATTTATTGAACATTGTTTTTAAGAAATGCTGGAAAAGGAAGAGTAACACAAATGATTTTATTCCCACTCGAGATCTCCCACAAACAGGGTGCATCTACATGAGAGGTTTACTGCAGAGCTGACTAATTAGCTCCACAGTAAAGTGTTAGCATCTACACATACGGTGCTATTCGACTGAAATAAACTAATTAACTCGGCCATAGGACAGTACTGCCCAACACAGGTATGATCCTATGGCGGAGTTATTTACTTTGCTGCAACACGCATGTAGATGCTGACCAGGGCTGACTGGTGCATGAGGGTTGCCCCACACCACAGCACTTTTGTACCCCAGCCAGCCCCTCCACAGCATGTTGAGTCGGAGCAGCCCCAGGCTGGCAGGCAGACCCCCAGCACCCTCCGCCTGCTGGGGCTGGTCTGCCGTGACTCAACATACTGTGGTGTCAGGCACACCTGTAAAAGCAACGCAAAAAAACTCCATTGCAAACTGCACGGGAGGTTTTTTTGCATCAAATTGGTTTCACAAGTAGACGCGCCCAGAGTGGATCAAATCCAGGACCAATTTAATAGCCTTGCTATCAGCAACAGCTCATCACGGGAGGATGTGATGATCAAGGGTCATCTGAGTCCGAGCGTGAAGGAGTTTTCTTCTGGGACGAAGCACTAAGCGTGGGAGCAGCCTGGGCCCTCTTTTGGCTGATGTAGCACAACTTCCAGGCTGTGAAGCCAGGCTGCAGGTCTCATTTCAAAAGCTCTCTCTCCTTGTCACTGGGTGCACTGACACTAGCAGCTTATGCACATTAGCATCACACCGCATATCACAGCAAAAACTGTGTGACTAGCCTAGCCTGCAGTGGCATGAGACTAACTGGCAGTTAAGTGTCACTAAATAACTGTGCCCCAGCACTACTGTGCAGTAACTTCAGGCACTACCGATGTCCTTAGCATGTTACAAAGGAAATACTGAACTAAACACGCAGTATCTGAGGTGCGTTAGCGCCCAGCACGTCACACTTCTGCATTGCCCTAGGCGTGCTAGTCCTGCAGGCGTCACACAAGTGTTACGAAGTAAGCAGCTGTCACAGGTTGAATGACGTCAGGGCAGGGCGAGAGAAGGAGGCGCAGAAGCCCCGCCCCCGCCCCGCGAGAACGAGGCGCGGAACGCTCCCAGGGGGTCACGTGACGTCGCCGCCAACACCTCCCATAGCTCTGCGGGGGGGCAACAGCCGGGGCTCGATGTTGCCATGGCGACGGGCCGCGGCTGGGGCCTGCGGGCGGCACGGGGGCGCGCG